AGACATTTTTGACACAAAAAAAAAGAAGACATTTTTGATCCTTGACTCTTCTGGTTTTGGGCTTGATTGGAAATGTTGAGTTGAGCGTCTGAAGAGGAGATTCAAATCCTCCGACTCCAGAAACAATTGCTGTCAAGCGGCCGCTTGCTGATTTAGCTTCTCCCAATCGGCTCCTACGCCATCAAACACCCGCGGGTCCATGCCCGACGATTTCCCAAAGGCCATAAGTGCTCGGCAGAAAGAAGTTAAGTTTTCAGGCCTGAAAGATCAGCTTTTTAGTACAGACCTCTTCACTGACCTTGGCTGCTTGCAGGTCTTGCAGACAGCCTCATCTGGGGCTGAGCACATGCCACTGTCGCTCTTGCAAGTTTGGGTCTGGATATCGCGGCGGCAAGAATGGTCAGCACTCCAAATCAGAAAACCATTAGTCCGGTAAATGCGAACACTATTCGGATATGCCCGTGCTTCCTAATCTCATGACGATGGACCGCCATCGCAGCAGTGCATAGTGGAAAACCAAGCTGTGGACTACGATGGATTACGATATTGAGCAAGCAGGCTCATGTGAGGTTGCAGCTCGATTCCACCTCCACCCTCCAGTGCTGGCGTCAGCTCTCGTTTGTCCGCTATCAATCCCGCGTACGCACGCTGGCGCAAAAGCATGGGAAGGAGCGGCGGGCACCTTAGCATGTTGGTTGCTTCACCCTCAAAATAACACAGGTTCAGGTGTGCTTCCGGGGTTGGCCCTGAGTACCCTTGAGTACTTTACGTCTAGGAGAACAGCGGAACGCGACGTAGCCGAATTTTTCTACAACTCACGAATTCAAAAAACAGGCGAGACACTGCTCAGGCTCCGACTCTGTAGGCTTGGCGGCCATTCGCTGAGGCTCCCGCGCGCAGGTCTAGAATCAGCAGAGCTCACCTTCACCTGGCAAACATTTGCTCGGAGGGTTTCCGGCAGCACGAAAAGCTCTTCGGCAGAGTGTCAGAAAGTCAACTAAGCTGAATTTCCATACAAGCCTTGTGCAATGTAGCCGCCCTCACTCTCCAAAGTTCGCTAGACCAACTGGCTTTTGCAGGAGCCGTTCTCCCCACTGCTGCAAGTGATAGATACGCCTGTCTTGGAGATAGTCCAAGCCGCACTGAAGTCCTAGTTTGCTGGCGTCACTGATATCAGTTCGTGTTCTTGTCAAAACCGAACATACTACATCGAAATAACATATGATACTAGCCGTGTTACTAGAATGGCTATCACGACTATTCGTAGATTTACAGTTTCAGTATTTCTCATGATCAGTCATCATTGTTCACGCCTATTTTTGTGTTGATGCCGACCTCCGGATCCTAGGATTCAGCCACACAGGGATGTCCAGGAACTCCCCAACTCCCGTCAGGCTCTGATCCACGACACTCCCAAGAAAGCCCTATCTCTGCAGATACTTTCACATCCTTATGAGAAAGTACTACTAAAGTACTGAGAAGTACCGTAAAATACTAGGAAGCCCGACCTAGTTAATGGCCGGCCCCATACTAAAGCCCCAAAGGTTATCTTATGGGGAGGATACTCTATAGGAGCCCCACCCAAAACCCAAAACTTAAGCCTAAAACCCCAAAGCCCTTTTTCACAAGGGACTCGACTGTTGCCCTAAGCCCTAAACCTTAAAATCCCAAAAAACAGGGACAGCAGGCCTCCGATTTCCACTTCGACTCGCTCGGGAGGGCGGGGCTTGTCCTGCCTCCCGGGGACCTTGTGCTTGGGTTTTAGGGTTTACGGGTTTAGGGTTTGAGGTTCTAGGGTTTATGGGTTTAGGGTTTAAGTTTTTTGGGTTTAGGGTTTTGGGGTTTTTTAACACTCACACTCGGACAAGCCTGGCAAGGTCTGGGT